TGCAGGGCAGTGGGACGCTGGTTGACAAACATTACACCGCTGCTACCTCTCTTTACATCTGATTCCTGTACTTTACAAATGAAGCATCCTTTCTGGGAGATGCCATGGAAACCTTCCCTTGATATCAGGCTTTCTGATCATATTAAATGTAGGTACAATAAAATAGTAAAAACTCAAATTTTCATTCCACATACAGTTTATTACAGTAAAACCTGTGACTATCAATCAATCAATCAATCAATCAATCAATCAGTCAGTCAATCAATCAATCAATATATTTAACGTGGTCGGTACGCTTAGCTAATAAGCTAGTTTACACGAAAAAAAAAAACAGACAAAAATTATAAGAGCCTTATGAAGGTATATAAATTTAAATGAATCAAGATTAAGAACTAGCTAATATTAAAATATAAGAATTGACAATGTAGTCACAAGTAATATGTATAAGAAAATATGATCATTAAAAGCAGTAAAAATTGATTAAGGATAGATCCGCTTCGCACTCGGAGTCCCGCGAGATCTAATGGGACTGACAACACTTCTCTAGGTCTTTCCATATTCTTACACTTAAGCTTTCAAAACGAACTCGGCGACTCTCGTGTTTTATTTTGGGATTGTAATTAGTATGATAAGAAGCTTTAAAAAAAGTGGAGGGGGGTTCTGAGCCACCTTAAATTTTGGAACTTTCACTGCCTGATGAAAATACTACACTAAAGGGTCCAATAGGTTTTGAAATAGTCATTTGGTAGGGCTTCTTTCACGGAAAGTTGGAACTTATAACAACCTTGAACAACCTTGTTCAACATAACACTTAGTACCACACCAAAGTTTTGAATGGTCACACACGCAGCTTTAATACACTAACTTGTAAGTTACAACCACCTTGTACAGCACAGTTAAGAGAACCACAAGAAATGACTGGTCAATAACTTCCATGAGTGTTTTTCTCCTCCGTAAATCACATTAATAGACACTCTGGTGGTGCAGGGGACGCAAATAGATTCATTTCCTTGTTTTGTTTCAGTTTCAACAAATACATACAGTGGGAGACGTGAAGATCAGTACAATGTTCCTTACAGGATTATCAAGTTATATACAGGTGGTAAATTCGACAAGAATTACAACAAGAAATATCACACGCGCAGAATTACAATTCCGTCAAAGACATCGCAAGTTAAACTTGTAGCCACCATCACCGGTCACGGCAGTGACAATAACGGTTGCGCCGAATTCTGTGTCACGTCACACCACTTTATTGTAAACGGCCATTCAAATGTTCGAGTGTTTAAAAACGCTGCTACAGCCATGGGCTGTGCTAATCGCGTCAGCGATGGTGCCATTCCAAATGAACACGGTACCTGGCTGTACGGTAGGGACGGCTGGTGCTGTGGAATGGATGTAGTGCCGTGGGTAGTGGACATCACAAAACAGATTCATGTTGGAGGTTACTTTAATAAAGTCAAGTACTTTGGTTGGTTCAATGGCTCCGATCCCCACCCTACACGGGATCCAGGGGAGATAGTCATGCGGTCGTATTTGGTGTTTTATAAATCAGTAGAGGACCAGTTTTCTGATGACGTGTAAATGGACGCTGTCGTTGAATATTTATCACAAATTTGCTATCTGTACAGTATTTTTGTGACATTGCAATTTGCTCGATAAAGATTATATTTAGTTACGATTTTTACAATCATATATTTCATGTTATCTCAGTTAACATGTAGCTCACTCTTAAGAAAGGGTTTCGAAAAACTTGAAAGCCTAATTTAGCAAAGGGATAAAAAAAAAAAACAAATGCGGAAAACAGCCGTGTTTATACTGTAAGACAAATGCTTTACCTTATCCTCACTTCTTTAGCGAGCACTAATTTTCGAAATTGGAAAAACATACTGTTGAAATCGCCCAGTACCCGTGAAGATAGAAAACATAGGAGAGATGTTCTTTTCTCACATCTAAATCACCCTGACGGTTCAGGGAAGTCATCTGCCATTTTTCCCTCGAGAGGGTAGTTACAATTGCACATGAGCAGAATAGTATTTGCAGCGAAACACATTTAGACAGTATAACGCATGAGCAGACCATTATTTGGAGGCAGTTTTTAGCAGGTCACGTTTTGGGCTCTCGGCCGATTAAAAGGAAGGAAAAAAGCATCGTTTTTTATGGGCCTTCCAAGTGCAACTTGTTCCAAATGATGATGCTTTTTCGTTTGAACGCTGTATTGTGGACCATGAATGGGGGATTTTATAAGAGGTGACTGGAATTTGGCGACATTTACATGACATTTAATCCCACTTTTTCCGTCAGGTGAAGTCGCGAAAATAGATTCTCGAGAACGTGGTAGAAAGACAGCTTTGCCCAATTTTCGCTAATAACTCGAGTATTGGCAACCTTGGTCAAAGGACGAGGCGAATTTGGAAAGGTTACGTTTCCAGCATTGGAGGGTCTCGAAGGGGTTAACTGTCAACCGTCAAATGGCCAAAAAAGCGGTCAAAAATTCTTACCGTCAACCGTCAAATGAGCGAGCCAATATTTGCCGTTAAATGTCTCAGATATCCATMATTAAGAGTTAAATGATTGCCTTAAACGGGGTCAAGTTATGCTATTTATAAATGAACGTTTTAATATGTCACAAAAATACATTTATGTGCAAGCCTTTAACTTCTAGTCTCGGGAGCAGGCGATTGATACGTCCGGCGGTGATAATGTTATGTGACTACACTAATTAGACACATAGTTGAAGACAAAGGCCTAATTTTTATGCACGGCGTATTTTTAACGGTCAACCGTTAAATGGACGGAGATCCCCCCCCCCCGCCCCCCACAAATTGAGACCCTCGCATTAGCCCTTGTTGCTTGCTTACTGCGCATTATGCCTAGTGGCAAGTAGAGTAGCAAGCAAGGTCCTCCGCTGTCTTTCTTTCCGCAGTTTCTCGCTGGTACCTAACTGTCGTTCGGGGTCTTAAAACTTCCATTTTCCTGCCAGTTGTTTCCTTGCGATTCACACCATTACGAAAAGGCCCTAGAAGGCTATCACATACGATTACTGTTGATTCCTCTGTTGCTTTTTCCACGCGGATTTGTTAAGCTTGGGGTTGTTAGTCTTCGCGAGCAAAAAGGACCGCTCAGTATTTGCAATGCCGATTGCATGTGGGGAAAGCACAGTAGTATCGTGTGATTACTTTGGGCCTGTTTTAGTAATAGTCAAGTACTGGTACTAGCCAAGAACTAGTAATGACGTAACACAAAAACCATGACAAGTGGGTGAGTCAGTTCGCAATAAATTTGAGGAGGAATAAATTGCGTCTGAACTTGAAATTGGTCAACCCTAGCTGTTTGGTTGTAACCAATCTATCTTGTTTTCAAATTAAAATGGAGTAAGCCTTGAAGCTTTAAAAACAGTTTTTCACTCAAGATTCCCTTTAAAGTTTGATCAATTTTCACCATTTGGATTGTTTTTCATGTCGTCTGTTACGCGGTTCAAAGTAAGCTGAAGGTTTCAACTTTCACACCTTTTTCGTTATGTATTCGCCGTATATTTTACGTGAAAACGACTCGAGAAAGTGATGGAAATTAGCGTGTACCGCAACCCTGACAAATGGTCCATCACATGGGTTCCCAGGCTTGAGCTCAAGATATAGATATATATATGCACAATATATTTGCACAAGTACGAGGGCTGTACTGGTACAATAACAGACCCAAGGTCAAGACAGAACGGACTGAGCGCAGCGAGGTCCGTACAAAAAAGACTAAGGATCGATATCCTCTCCTACGGCACGAAGAAATCTTGGTACTAAGTAAGAGACTTATTACATGACTGAAAACTGTTCGGAAAAAAAGATACTTTACACTTTAAGTGAGCACGGACTGGAGAGATACCATACGCTTCAAGTGTGCAATTCTAATGGAGGGCTGACTAAGCGATTACTTACTTCTTACTCTTCTAACAGTTGAAAAAGACAAGGAAATGAAGTTGGAAGAGAAAGGAATTGAACCTTTTCCGTACAAGTTATTCTTTTACAAAAGTAAGCCTTTAAACTACGGAAAGCTAGTCCAAGAAACCGAGTGCGATCATTCGGAAAATACCCGGTTCAATACTTGTGACTGGAACTGGCAACAGAGCAATGTGATAGGTTGATTTTAGTTATTCGCCCTCTGAACTGACTAAGTCGTGCAATAAGGCTAGATATCGGCTAAGTTCTGATTTTTGCCATTTTTCTGTTTTCCATAAACACGCAAGGAGAAAACATCCAGCCATCTTGACCAAGCAAACTTAGTCAATAAAGGAATGATTATCTGGCATAAAGAAACCTATTTTTGTGGGAGCGAGCGAATAGCAGGGCAAGATAGACCCATCTTACTGGCTCGGGTAGCCAATCACAGTGCCGGATCTGGTTCTTCTTGACAGTTCGGGCGCTAGCCATATAGTAATAAGGATTCCTAACCACAGTTGAATAGAAAACCAGATTGGAAAACAATCAAGACATGACTATAGACTCGGTATTTTAAGTTCGTAACCTCAACGGTTGTCGAGACTTTATTTTTCTGTTATTTCATCGTTTTACAGTGGGAGAATGCTAAATGAATGCCCAGAAAAGGCCCGGTGACCATGTCCTCCCTTTAAACTAATTTCAATTGACTTTAGTAAATATCCAATAAATAGGTTCTTGACAGAAAGAAGCAATCTTGAAGTGCGCACATTACAATCTCAAACAATTATCTGAAACAAAGGACAGAATAAGAAGTTCTAAATCATGTAGAAGTCGTAAATGTATGATGGTTCGACCTCCCTGCTACCATCAGCCGTCTACTAAAGACTGTATAAACATGATTTTATACAAATGTTCTTTCTGTGGGGAAAAACGAATTCCAATCCTAGCTAATCCTAAATCGACAGCTTTTATCATTAGATTAAAGAAGATATTAAAAAAATATTTTAAAAGAAAAATAAACGCTATAACATGACGTTTCATCTTTTCGCCATTATCAAATGCGGATTTAAGCCGTTCAGTTCGGACATATACTAGCTTGGGTGTTAAGGAGTCAAGAAAAATGTGAAGAACAATGTCAGCTAATTAGACACGTTTGCTCAAAGACCAAACTTTAAGACACAAGCGGACTCTATTTTTCTTGACTCCTGACCTGATGTTTTTCAGAGTAGTGTATTGTCAAATATTTATTTTCATTTAATAAGCATGGCAGATTGATTTCACTTTTGCTTACATAATATTACATTGGTCGGTCGGCTTAAGGACCTGAAACGTGTCCTTAAATAATCAATGGGTTGCCTCCTTGGTTTTTAAGTATTGCTTCAGCGAGACCTGAAACAAAGAACATAATGGAAATAAGTAAAACTGTACCAGTATACAAATGCAAATGGTGACGTTTTCTTGTTTTCCCGGCGTTTCGAAGGGAGATTTGGAAAAGCTAATTAGATGTTCTTTTTCCGGAGTGATAGCTACACGGCATTTCAATATTTCAATTGAGATACCCTTTTAAGCTGCAGCTTTTGTTGTATGATAATATCCGTCACCCTTACCTATTACCCCAATGTACCTATCTCGAGTTCAATTGAATTGAATTGTTAATAAGGGAATCTGATGAGTCCCTTGGCAGGGACAAAATGTACGTATTTAAGGCTAACCATTGTAAAATTCTCACATTTTTTTAAATTGATAAAACAATAATTTCAATTTAATCAAATATATGACTGAGCAAATCTCCAGAGTCCATTCATCTCGGCTTACATGTTTATTGTTCACCCGTCTGTGATAAGTATTTTTTTTCTTTCTAGGTTGAAATCTGAAATGCGATAGAACTCCGTTAATCTTAAGTCTATCTTTCTACCAAAAGCCGAGCTAGTGGTATGGACGGGTTCAGACAGGACGGTCGTATTCAAGAGGTCCCTAAAGAAGAAAATCACTAAGAGTCAAGTCTTTCAACAGAAAATGATGCATATTGAGGCCGTCGTGAGGCGGGGTTGTAATTTATTAAGTATTTATATTCGAATTCACTACCCGCTCAACCAAATATATGATATTTATCATGTAATATGCAACCACTTTAAAGATGTGCCAACACGAGCAGTGTAAGACCTTCTTAGATGACAAAAAGGCTGACAAAAAAATTGAACATCAGGTAGTGTAAGATTTTATATACAATAACTTGATAAGCCAGTACCCATAAACGCTTGTAGATAGAAATATGAAAACACCCACGGCTCTTAATGGGTATTTAATTTAGAGGGCGAAGAGGCGGTCGCATGACACGAATGAATATAACGGAGGCAACGCAATATGTATACATAAGGCCCTAGAGACAAAATTACGTAACCCATTATAAACACATTTCTTGGGGGTGTTGAGTAATCAGTACGGTATATTACATTTAACTCATTATTCGTTTAAACCGGGAGGACTAAATTATCTTTATACTGTATCAAGAGGAGATCATTTTGTCTTGACTGTTTACAGACCTATACAGTGTTAGTTAGACCTTTTGTTATCATATCATTCACACGATCCCATAACTAAGTAAGACTCTCTAAGGTTTGCGT